CAACTTCACTCAGGTTCTCAAAGACATCTATGTTTTGCTGATCGAGGCGCCTGCCCCATACCTCAAGCTTTCGGGTGAATGCAGTGATCTTGTCTGCCAGGTGAGGTAGGTGCTTGTCTTTGCCTTGAAGCTGAAGATTTAATTCATTCAGCTTGCCAAACACATCGCTGAGGTAGGCCAGTTTAAACAGAAATTGTTCATCACTGAACTTGCTTACAGCCTCATACATGTGCTCCTCCTCCAAGAACATCCGAATCTCTGCCCTGAGCTCAAAGCCGCGCAACAGCACTTGGCCCCGGGAGAGCCACCTTGCTTCACTGTGAAACAGCACAGATGTGTGATCAGCTCCCATTTCCTCACAAAGTGCGGAGAACAGTCGCGCTTTCAGGGGTCGGGTTTTGATAAAATTTACCACGCTCACAACTTCTGTTAAAACCTCATTTAGTTCAGGGCTGAGCTGCCTTGACGCGAGCGCTTCCCTGTGAATGACACAGTGCGTCCAGTGCGCATCTGGCGCAACCCTCTTTATTAGTGCCTGCAGCCCGTTTCTTGACCCAGCCATGGTCTGTGCGCCATCAGAGCAAAAGCCCACACAGTTTTCCCATTTAAGGCCGTGTTCTTTGAGGTAACTGTCCATGATCTTAAACAGCTCATCAGCTGTGGCTCTATTTTTTATGTATTTGCAAAACAGCAAATCCTCACACAGTGACTCGCCATTCACAAAGCGGACATACAAAATGAATAAGCAGTCTTTATTGCTGTCAGTAGCTTCGTCCACTTGTAATGCAAAACGACTGTCTTTTAATTTTTCTATGAGTTGTTCCTCAAGATCACTTGAAATGTTGCATATATGTCTCGCAACTGTGTCGTTTGACAGGGGGACAGCTTTTAATTTTGCTGCGCTTGTCTCGTCAAGCATAATTGACACCATGTCTAGAGCAGCGGGAAGAAAGAGCTGCTCTGCAATTGTGTGGTTTTTTGCATTTTGCAATTCTGTATGCCACTCTATATGAAGCTATCTGTGCTTTACTGTTTACTGATGCAGCTTTTACCATGCGAGTCTCCTGTTGACAGTATTCTGCCAGTTTTCTTTGAAAGAAATCAAGTGGCTTATTGACGTGACTGGGGTGTGTGGTCTCTAGTTGTCTTCTTAATTTGTTGGGTCTCATACTGTCTGCTGCTAGCGGTTTAAGACACAGAACACACATCGGTCTCTCCTCTGACCCCACCACTGCTGCCGTGAATCCAAGAGCAAGATACCCTTCATCATATTTTCTTTTCGGTTGGCTTTTTGGTTGATTAGGCCCATCTGGTTTGTGTCTCTGCTGGCGCTGGCTCGAAAACTTTTGAGGTCCGTGCAACCTGCAAAAAGTAATTTCAGGGAGGTTCATTCCGGGGGGGTGGGGGTGGGGAGGGGAATTCCTGTTACAGTTGGTGTCGCCCCCGGGGTCATCGGTCTAATAAGCGGCAACACACAGCTATAAGGACGGTTTGCTCTCACACGCGCTGCATTTATAGTCACACACACACACACACACGCGCAGTCACTCTCACACGCGCAGTCACTAGTCTAGTGTGCGGTCTTGCTCCAGATTCCGGGAGATTGGATCTCATTTGCGGGCGTCAAGGAGCCGCTATCAATTATGGCGGGGAGACTCCCGGAACTTCCGGGACAGTTGGGATGTCTGGATAAAGATATAAAGGCATAAAAAGGAAAATTTCCTCCCGTTTGGCGCGCCCCACACTTTGAGAACCACGGAGCTAACGTAACGCCAACTTCAACAGTAACAATGCTGTTATAATTACAGTAATAATCACACTCTTAGACATTAAAATGTAAAGTAATTTGTACTTTGAGTCATTTATTTACTAGGTATTTACTTTCAGTATTTTTTAATGGGAGTAATTGTACTTTTTCTTGACTTTTGCACTGAACCGTGTCATTCAGACGCCGTTTGGTGAGTCTGGTTCCTCACATTCAGGCACCAAATCAAACTGATTTATTTTCTTTAGCAGCAGGAATGTGCTCAGGAAGTATTTCACAGCAATCTGCCTCTTTATTATTTGATGTCTGTTGTGCACATTTGACCTTTTATCCTGAGGGTGAAGCTAGAAAACACAGGAAGAAAGGTCACGTAGTGTCAAAACAGAAAGGGTTTATCTTCGGGGAGCGTGAACAACTGGACATTTTGGCCTGATAATGACGCTCAGGCAAAGGCCACGAATGCCCACAACAATTTTCTAGTTGAAAAGTGAAGGGAGCTGTCGCTACTGGAAGCATAAAAGTGTTTTTTAAAGTGTTTTGTGGGCAGGGAGAAGGCAACATTTACCCCATTATCTCCTCTATTTACCTCACACTTACCATCAGCCTGCAGCACCCCCGGAAGATTGTTTCCGACCACCGAAGGGCGACCACATGGTCAAACGGGGACAACGTTGGACGTCTCCCACCAGACCTTCAAGATCTCATCAGCAGCCTCCACTTCAAACACGCGAATTAGTTTCAACAAGGCCCATTTTTCATTCGGAAAAAAGCCTCTTCGTTCCTTTTCTTTCTGTTCTTTTGTGTGTTGCCTCAGTTGACAATGAAAGGCAGTTTCAGGCTTCGGGGTTAGCTGAGGACGGGATGACTCATAGCAGCACACTGGCCCGAATATATAACTTCTTCTGCTCCACAATACCTCAACATATTCCACAAATCAAAAGCAGCCGGAGGCTCAGAAAGAGAAAAAATCCACAACACATTCCACAAAATCCACAACTTCTTAACTATTATACAGATTTTAACAAGTTTAACTTATAAACACGAATATAAATCAGCATTTTAAGAATCGAAGTGAGCAGAATGAGTCAGAGTTTGTTTATTAAAGTCTGTTTTCTTTCTCACTTTAGATGCTGTGACTAAAAGCAGTCGTTAACGTTAATCTTTAATGTGATAATGACGTTCATTTATCTTGAAGCTAGTGGTCTATGAATCAGTGCTTTAAAGAGCAGTTAAACTAACGTAATGCCAACTTTAGAAAGCCGTTAGATTGATTGACTGGTTTAGATGTGACTGAACGCAGTCTCTTGGCTCTAAAATGTGAAACCTTCAATCTTTATCAATCTCTGGCAATGTGGTCATTGTCCTGTTGTCTATATTCAATCATTACTTTCAGATTTGTGTTTAATATATAATCTAATCTGGCTGTAAATAGGTGTAAATATGTAAACATATGATTTATTACTGCTACTGGTAACGGGGCTTCCTGTGGCTTTAGATAAGATTAGATTGATTAACGGTTATTTTTAAACATTTATATTTATCATCGTTGTTGGCTTTAAGTGATTCTTACATTCTCCAATTGTAAAAAATGTGCATTCATTTCACACTGGATAAAACAAATTAATGCTTAATGTTTAATCAACTAAAACTTGCTTCATATTGACTTTTTTGTGCCTTTTTCTTTACATTTTATCAAACCTAAATCGTCTCACTACAAATAAGAAATCTAAAAAAATAAAATTATTATCTTGAATAACTTCAGTTTTCATTGCTTATAAAAAGCACAACTTGGCCCATTACAGTCTTTCAGTGGTTAGATTTCTATGACAGTTTTAAGGATTCACCCTCATTAGTGGATTTTTTGCTCAATACGAGACAATTATTATTATTATTTCTAGAAGGGCAGTTTTTGCAGCGAAGGTGAACAGTTTTATGGGTGTTAATGAGTTCTGGTTTTATTTTTGAGGGCTCGAACACAAACAGAAGAACGCAGAAGCAGACGAGCAGTAATTAAAGTAAACTCATCAAAGTGAGGCTCCCCTGTTAAAGCTGCCGGCCGCCTCCGAGCTTTGATACCGCTCGGCTGCTGTTCGTCCGGACCTAAAAACACACAGCAGACAGCAGCTCGGTGGTTTCTCAGCCTCACAGCGCCAATTACCAGCCGCTGATTAGTGAACACAGCCAGCTCGCAGTGAGGAGAAAGCTCCCCGGAGAGCGCTGCTTTACGAGGAAGTTATGGTTGGAAAATCGTCAATAAATAAAATGCTCAATTGCTCAAAGGGTCATCTGTCTGATGAAATAACAGCAAAAAATATGATTTATCTGCTCGTCCTATAAAAATCTGGTTTTGAGCAGATTATTGATGAGTATATAGGATAGATAAACCTACCGTAACCAACCATAACCTTAACCAAACAGCTATAATGTTACAAATTGTCTATAAACTATACAAATAAAATAAAATCTAAAATCAATTTACAATAAAAGAAAACCTATAAATGTATGAGCTAAGCTAACCTTGGCTGTATCCAACAACAGCTTTTAAATTTAACTAAATAATCAATGATCAGCAAACTCATTATAACTAATTTACATCATTCAGAATCAGAATTGGGTTAAGTAAGAAGAAGAATCCCAAAAAAATCAAGTACTTTTTAAATATAAATAAAGATAGAAAGACCTAAAGCTGTACAAAAATGATATTTATAAAACCAACGTTTTGTAATGAATATTTAAAGGTTGGGTTTAAGAGTCAGTGTGAGCTAGTTAAATCTGAAAGTTATTTTAGGCAAAACACTGATCAACATCAGTTTTTAGCTGTTAGTAAGACCTTCAACTAGTCTGAAAGTAAGAAAACTGTCAAATTTAAGCACAATTACTTCTATCTGTCTGCTATATCCTGTTACACACAGTTGACGCAGGGCAGTTTGTCCCATTATCAGATGTAAACGTGTAGGGATGCTGCTGACTAGTGTGGTTTTTGGCGGCCTGTTTTAATTTTAGTTTGAGTCTAGTCTTTGTGTCGGGGTCATCCCTATGTTCCCCGGGTCCTATGTTCCCTGCTAAGGTTAGGGTTAGGGTT